TTGTGATTGCCAAGGGGACCCCGGGGGATGGGAAGGGACAGACTGGGATTTTAAAATGCAGAATAGATAAACAAGATTATACTGTATATAGCACAGGGAAATATATACAAGATCTTGTGGTAGCTCACAGCAAAAAAAAAAAATATGACAATGAATATATATATGTTCATGTATAACTGAAAAATTGTGCTCTACACTAGAATTTGATACAACACTGTAAAATGACTATTACTCAATAAAAAAAATGTAAAAAAAAAAAAGGTGAAATGAGAGGCTGTTTTGCATCTGTCAGTTTTGCAAAGACCAGGAAGTTTGATGACACGTGTTAGCAGTGGTGTTGAACACAAGCAACTTACACGTTGCTGGTGGAAGTATAGACTGGTCCCTCTGCAGAGAGAACTCAGGCAGTATTTTACCAAAAGCACAAGTACACATATCCTTTGCCCTACCAGTTCTGCTTCTACGCACTGATCCCACAGACACACATGCACGTGAGGCTACGGTAAACAAGGATATTGGTTGTAACAGCAAGATTGGAAACAACCTAAATACCCACTAATAAGGGACCCACTGAAAGGACTCTAATTTGTGCGTTTGGTGGGACACCGCACAGCTGTGGGTCAGCTCATTTGTACTGATGGGAAATGACTGCTCAGCTGTATTTTAATTCAAGACTCAGAGGTGCACAACGTGTTCAGAACTCAGGACTTGAGAAATACGTGCACAGCATTTTAACGTGAACCTGGTATCTCTGGGAGGCTACCCAGGGAGGTGCCGACTGCGGCTGGGTCGAGAGAGCAGAGGGTCTGGAGCGGGAAGGAGACCGGTAGTTCTCCTTACAGTCTTTACCTCTGGCTTTAGGACCTGCGACCTCTGAGGTTTTTGAAGCATCTCTCTTAAAAGCTGCATAATGTCATAATTTACTTAGCCACTCCTCCATTGTTGAGCATTTAAGCTTCTATTTTCAATGCTTATAAACAATCTGTAACGAATATCTTTCTGAATACATCTTTGTACATATTTTAGGTTGTTTGTAGGGTCACTATATAGAATTAGTGAATGAAAGATTGTGAACATGATTATACATCATGATGGTACTTTCCCCACAGGAAGTACATTTTCTATCCCACCAGCAGGCTGTTCGTGCCCTTTACTTTTTAGAAACCCTCCTAATTTGATGGACAGAAAATTATACCTGGTTACGTACACACTTCTTTGATTATGACTGAGGCTGAACAGTCTTGTATTTATACCACCTGTCTTTCCAAATGTAGGCACTCTGTGCTCGCTTGTGAATTATTGGCCCATGCCTCTTGCTCATTTGTTTACTGTGGTCCTTGTGTCCTTCTGCTTGATTTATATGTGCTATTTATATGCTAAGGATATTAATCTTTTGTCATATTTGTTTCTAACTGGGTTGGGGCTTTAAGGACGAGTAGGAGTTACCCAGGAAACCAGGCTGGAGAAGGACCCCCACGTGTGGAGAAATAGCAGGCCTGCCTGGAGGAGAACTCCCGAGTCTGCCCGCAGGGCTGGAGCTGGTAGTTCCTGCTGGAAGTGGTGCTTGACTGGGTGGGATGATGAACAGGAGTAAGCAGCCATCCATGCTGATGCCTTTGACCTTATCCTGAAGATAACAGAAAACCACTAGGAGTTTTCAGCAGGGAAGCATGTGATCGGTTTTATGTACCGCTGCCCCCAAACCTGAGAGGCTTTGGTTTCCAGAGTGGGTGTTCGGACAGTAACGTTACCTCCTCACTCCATTCCCTTCTCACTGGTCTTCTGCTTCCCCTCCCGCCTCTTCAGGTGCAGCTTCGCCCTCCAGCGGCCCCCGAGGCCAGTCACCTTGCGGACCGCCACCTTGCACCGTGCTTAGGTGACAGATACTCCGTGCATATTTCTTCAGTGAATTCTTATTGTGAATTTGTAGTCATTCCCTTTTGGAGGTTAATTCAGTCTTTGTGCTGCAAACCCTTTTCATTCTATGTCTTTCTCAGTGTCTCACTCTGTTATGTTTTCCTTGCTGATTGTTAGTGTTTTTCTGGAAGGTCTCTGGTGTATTTTGATAAATTCATTTAGTCAGAAAGTGTTTGTTGAGCTCCTCTCTGAGCCAGGCACTTTAGATGCAGTGGCAAACTGGAAAGGTGGAAGCCCTTCCAGTGTGGGGCGTCCATTCTAGTGGGAGCTTACCTTCCTAAGAAGGAAGCTCTCTGCTGTTCCTCACTCTGTCTACCCAGAGTCCTTCTGACCTTCAAGTGGTCCTTGAGCTTCTTCTCCTTTGGTGTTCCTATCCACTTTATTGTACACTGCACACCAACACCCATCACAGGCCCAAGGCTCTTGCATTAGTCTGAGATAAGACCCTGGACAGGATTAGGGCTGAGGGTTTGAAAAAGTGGAAGATGATTCAGAAGGACATAGAAGGTTGAAACAGTAAGACTTTGTGCTTGTTTGAATATAAGGAATTACAGGAAAGGATGGAATTTAGGATGAATCCCCCTATGTCTGACAGTTGGCTGTCTGAGGAGGCTCCTACCTGGGAAGAAAGTACTGGCCGTGGAGGGGAAGGGAAGGAAAGATGGTAACTTCAGATTTGGAAGTGTTCGGGGAGAGAATCTGTAGTGGGTACACGAGGTGCCTTTTGTTGGCAAGTCTGAAAGGCAGTTGGGTTATATGGATTCGGAACTCAGAAAGGAGGTGTGAGCTAGAAAAAGGTTTGGGAGCCAATGGCATATATATATGTGTGTGTGTGTCTGTATGTATATCACAGTTGAAACCTTGAGCTAGATGCAATTACTGGAGGGCACTTTATTAAAAAGGAAAGAGGTCCAATAAGGAGCCCGAGAGAATATAAGCAGTAAGAGGTGGCAGAGTAAGACAAGCCCACAAGGAAGATGAGGAAGAAGTGGTTAGGAGATCTAAAGAATAAGAGGAGAAGCCAGCCAGCTGCAGAACTCGGCACCCCTGAAGCAAATGTGGATACCTCAGTAAAAGTTTGCAAACACGGTCATCACCTCATTATAAAAATTATGGACTTCAAAAGATCTTATTTTACTAAAAATTATGATAATTTATTGTTACCTAAAGGTGGTGGCCTTGTGTGCAGAGTGCCCTTTATATGTTAAGGCTTGATGAATCTCGAGACCTGACCGCAAGAAGTGAGCAGGGTCTTGGAGGCACGCGACATGGTTCCATTAGGTCACGGGGCCTCAAAGATGCATAAGGGTGAACAGATGGTGCAGAACAGGACCCCAGGACACGCTCCCCTCGGCCCTGAGAAACCTGGAGGCAGAACAAGGCAGCTTCCTCCTAAAGGCTGCGAAGGAAGCACGTCTTCCGGGGCAGGCAGCTCTGAGTAGACGGAGGACATCCTTCCCAGCAGTTGAAGGAGGTGGCCCTAAAAGGCCAGCAGAGCAGGCTGAGTGTTTTGCTAGTGGGACACTTGACTTGGGATGAGGGGAAGGAGGAGGAAGCACAGGTGTTTTCAGAGGATGCGTAAGCAGAGGAACCAGCACGTGGGGTGGTGATGAAGGATGGCAGCAGTGAGGGGTATCACCTCAGCCGGTGTCGGGGTCACGCCTTGTGCACAGCAGAGCCCACTTGAGCCTCCGGGTACTGGGTGGCTGTGACCTTTCCGGCCTGCATTTGGCTGACAGTGGTTCTGGGAAGAAGGAAGGTGAAGGAGGACCTCAGGTACCACGGAGCTTTCCTGCTTTGCACCAGGGGCCCCGGAATGGCTGGAAGAATCTCACAAAGGAGTTTGGTCTTTGCAGTGGTGAGAGGAGAGCCAGTAGAAGAGCCTGTGTCCCCTGGAGGTCTGTTGGTGGACCGGAGGGCAAAGGCGGGGCGGAGAAGAGAAGCCACACGGCTCTCCCGCACACAGAAGCACTGCGAAACTGCAGAGCTTCAGGAGGGCAGAGCGGGCAGGGGCTGTGGGAGCAGCATCTCCGCCTGTCTCTGCGGACGCCGGCTTTTCTCACCGGCGGGACCTGTTGCAGTTCTCCTGCCCTTGATGTGTTAATGTTTTGTCTTATTTCAAACACATCTGACTCATCTGAGGCCTTGGGGAACAGCTGGCTGCATCCTCCTGACAGCACCTGCTCATTTTTCTCTGAAATGTTCTTACTCAGTGATACATCAAGAGGCTGATAGCAAGAATGTGTTGGAGGATAAATGGTTTACCTTGGCAGCGGTGAAAAAAATGCAAATGGTAAAAACCAGGACAGACAGAATTGAAATCATTGGTGGTTAGCCCTTTCTTACAAAATGTGCAGATTCAGCCCGATTTGTGATCACCTTCACAGAATTATGATCAGCTGCAACAAGCATCATGTAACTGAAAACTGTTCATGCAGCAGCAGTTTGTTCCTCTGCGCTCGGATGCTGTCATCTCTTGGGGCAAGAGAAGCACCTTGTGTTCTAGACGGGGGAGGAGAAGGACGAGCAAGCAGGGGAGGCGGGGAGCGTTGCGTCGCTCACGTCCATGGTGCAGCCGGCATCTGAATGACGGCTTCTGGTTGCTGTTGACTCGGTTAACTGGAAGGTGGAGTGCTTCGTTCATTTAGGCATAGACTTCGGACATCTGGGGAGACGAGTGCACAGCAGAACGTCTGGAACCCTGACCTTGAGCTCAGCTGATGTGAGCTGTCGAGCGTCTGCAGCTGTTTCTGATTTCCTTGCACTTTGGGAGAACTTGGGTCTCCGCAGTCTAAGACATACTCCCTTTTTTCCAAGCTATTCTAGGCTGGTTGCTAGCTTTCAGAAAAAGGAATTCAGTAATGACTGCTGTGGCCCATTTGACTTTTCCAAAAAGTCCATGCAGCATCCCGAATGAAGAATTAAAACAGCGGATGATTCCCTGAGGCAAATTCCTGTTAGAAAACCAATTCCGCAAATGGAACAAAATATTAGAGTTAAATTATTTTGTTCCCTTCTCTGTTCCCATCACCACCGAAAAGAGACTGTGCTGGAGGAGTGTGTGGGTGTGAGGAAGAGCCGTGATGCTGTGCCGCGGGAATAGCGGGCACGCCGTGCAGGAACGTGCGTCAGACGCTGCCTGAGCGCTTGTCAGGGTAGCAGCTGCACGTGAGGAAAACCTGTGTAAATCTGTATGTGTTCATGTCCAAGCGTCATGGCCCTGAGTAGATACTGCGCATCTAGATGCTGCAGTTGGTCCCCACGGGGTCAGGATGAGGGTCTCCCCCACGGCTTACATCCTGCACGTGCAGCTGCCCCAGCTGTCTTCTTTTCTCCTTTCTGGTTCTTCATGTTGCAAGATTCCATTTTACTCTTGCTTTTCAATGCAAAGGGACCTGATATTTGAATTTCGAATTAAAATTTTCTTTTTACTCTAGAAAGGCTTATCTAAAGCAGAGTTAGCCCCCTAAAGTAAGATTTCTCAGTGAGATGTCCCCACCTCCCCCAGCTCCCAAGGAAATGGCCCTCCCCTCCCCGCATTTCTTTGCTTCTCTTTCCATTCTCCTGTTTCTAAATGGAACTACCTAATAGTTTCCCATGGATTCTTCAGCTTGTATTTAAAGGAAAATGCAGAGCGATCTGAGATCATAAAAAGACTGCAGATCACCACAGTGTGTCTGACTTGAACGGCGTCTCCTTAGTCCTTGTTTGAATGTGGTGAAGATGTGGTGGGCGTGGGGCTTAAGGCCATCCCTCTGCGAGCCTGGGAGTGTGTAGGTTACGGACTTCTGAACCGTCTGCTGTGTCGGCTTATCCACACTTCACACGGGTGTGTGTGACCCTGGGGGTGCAGGCCACAGGAGGGCTCTGTGACGTGACGGGGGTGTGCCCACTGCATTAGGAGATCAGCAAGGAGAGCACGTGGCTGTCAGGTGTGAGTCCCCCCGGACAGACCACTTCTACACCAGACTCCAGACACGCATGTGAAGCTTACTCCTCCCCCAGCCCTGAGAGGTGGGTGTTACGATGCCTGTTTGACAGAGGAGGAAGCGGGCTTGTGTTAAGAAGGCCGCCCAAGTTCTCACAAACAGCAGGACCTGGAAAGAGTTCAAACCCAGGTCCGTCTGATTTGGAAGGCGCCCTCATAAGCCGCCATCCTGAACCACATGTACTGAATGCTGGGGGTAGGGGTGTGTTATGCACCTGCACGGGTGTGCACTTTAAAGATGGGGCACAGCATCTTGATGTGATCTCCACTTTCGTCTGTGGTGGGATCCCTGCGTGTTGTGTTACACGAGAGGGGCCGAGGACGGTCTGGTGGGAGACCTGACCGAGCGTGGCCTTGGTCATGCCTCAGTGCCTGCACGTGTGGTGCTTCGCTGCCCTCCCGCTTGTCGCTTTGTCTCTGCGTTGACGGTGCAGTTATCGTGGTAACTGGGGGAAGCCAGCCCGAGAGTAACTCTGAAGAACCAGGAATCTAAGCAGCATTTCAGTAGCGCTTTGCCATTTACATGTGTCTTGCTGGGAGAAGATTTATTTCCCCAAATCTGTTTGCTTAGTCATCCCGGGCTAGTAATGGATGGGCCTGTCCCAAGAGCCAGGAGCAGGGCTGATTGTCCACAGGGGAGTAGCAGACAGTCGATTCCTAAGGAAACAAGTTTGAGTTCATTCAGCATCACTTCAGACACTGACACCTTTTTTCCCCCTGAATTTGTTTAGAACCTACGCCATCAGGAGGATAAGAGATGCCTTCAGAGAAAATAAGAATGTAAAGGATCCTGTAGAAATCCAAGCCCTAGTGAATAAAGCCAAGAGAGACCTTGAGATAATCCGCCGACAGGTAAGCTGCGTCAGTGATACACTGTTTTCATTAAGAGCTGTAAGCTTTGACATGTCCCCCTGGATTGGACAGCGTGGCTTCTGGTGTTTATGATTTGCACCACGGGAACATGAAACTCTCTTCCTCTTATTCAAGTAGACAAAGAAAGATGACCTGTTATATTACTGAATCAAAGAGTACATAAAGGAAATTCCAGCTCTCCAGAATTCCCAGGGAATGCATCCTTCCGGGAGGCCGAGTTCCCACAGTTTACTAGACGTTGATGCTTTAAGTATGGAAAACTTGCAAACACTGTTGTCCCTTGTTAGATGGATTACACACTGACATGTGGACGTATGTCAAAGAATGTAAGTACATTCGACTTTTCTTGGTGTTTTCAAATCATAATTCAAGGTAACGTTACCCTTTTCTTGAAGACGCGCTTCTTGGTGATGAGCCTGAATTCTGTTGGCGCGACAGGTGTGTCTGAGGCGCGGGTCGGGGAGCACCGCCGC